GAGAACATGTTTTCAGAATAAAATACACATTCTGAGCCCTGGCTGCGGCTCAGACCTCATCTGTGCTGCACTCCCTGACAGTCGCTGTGCTCCGTCAATCTTATTTCTTTGTGCCCTCAACGCTCTACGTTCTCTCTTGCCTCCTGGCCTTTGCTTGTGCAGGTTCCAGTGCCTTAACTCAAACGGCGCCTTCTAGAGAAGTCTTCCTGGCTCCCTGGCTCCTGACCACCCGTTCTCCCTCCGCCCCCTTCCTTTGTTGAGTTTCCTTCATGGCATCTACACTGCCTGAACCTCTCTCATTTCTGGGTTGCTTTATTTGTTCATTGACCCTCTCCTCTACCAGGATGTCTGCCTCATGACAGCTGGAATCTCATCTGTTCGGTTCACCACTATACGTCCAGCACCTAGGACAGTTCTCAGTAGAGAGGAAGTCTTCCATTAATATTAACAAAAAAAAATTTTTTTTTGGGAGGGAGTTTTGCTCTTGTTGCCCAGGTTGAAGTGCAGTGGCATGATTTTGGCTGACTGCAACCTCTGCCTCCCAGGTTCAAGTGATTCTCTTGCCTCAGCCTCCTGAGCAGCTGGGATTAAAGGCACATGCCACCACATCCAGCTAATTTTTGTAAGTTTAGTAGAGACAGGGTTTCACCATGTTGGCCAGGCTGGTCTTGAACTCCTGACCTCAAGTGATCCACCTCCTTTTTTTTTGAAATTTGGTCTTGCTCTGTCACCCAGACTGGAGTGCAGTGGTGCAACTGTGGAGCTCACTGTAGCCTCTATTTCACGGGCTCAAGGGATCTTCCTGTCCCAGCCTCTTAACCAGCTGGGACTACAGCGGCAATCTACCAGGCCCAGCCAATTTCTTTTACTTTTAGTAAAGACTAGATTTCACTATGCTCCCCAGGCTGGTCTCAAACTTCTGAGCTCAAAGGATTTTCCTACCTCAGCCTCACCAAGTGTTTAGGATTAAGGCATGAGCCACTGAATCTGGCCTTGTCTATATCTTTTTGTGTACATACGTAAATTTTTCTATTGTTTGTGTACCTGGGAGTGGAATAGCCGGATCATAAGGTTTGCCTGTGTTCAGTTTTCATAGATACCAAAATAGTTTTCTAGAGACTGATTTGAGTAACAAATAATAAGGCTCTGGTCTCCCACAACAACAAAAAAATTCTTTTTTTTTTTTTTCCCCCTTGAGACAGAGTTTCACTCTTGTTGCCCAGCCTGGAGTACAATGGTGCCATCTTGGCTCACTGCAACCTCTGCCTCCCAAGTTCAGGCAATTATCCTGCCTCAGCCTCCCGAGTAGCTGGGATTACAGGCATGCGCCACCAGGTCCAGATAATTTTTGCATTTTTAGTAGAGACAGGGTTTCACCATGTCGGTCAGGCTGGTCTCGAACTCCCGACCTTAGGTGATCCACCCACCTCAGCCTCCCAAAATGCTGAGATTACAGGCATGAGCCACTGCCCCTGGCCAGTAAATAATTTTTGTAAAAACAGGGTTTTACTATGTTGCCTGGGTTGGTCTTGAATTCCTGGCCTCAAGTGATCTTACCCCCTCGGTCTCCCAAAGCACCGGGATTACAGGCATGAACCACCACACCTGGCCCAATAAAAGCTCACCTACTCTACGTTTCTCATAATGATCATTGCCCCTATACCAGTCGGATGCCACAGACACCCGGTTTACCTGCCCAATTTCAGTCTCCACCTACAGCTCACCCTCAACTAACTCCAGGTGAAAACTTTGATAATTTTGATGCCACTTCATGCCAAGGGTTATCATGAACCACTTACCCCTAGTAACAGTATCCCTATTACCAGAGGGATTGTTTCCACATGAAATCAGTGGGACCCTAGCCAGAGTTGGTCTCTACAGAGAAGTGAGGATAGGTCAAAAGCCCTGGAAGAATGTGAGGCCAAGAGGCTCTGATGGGTCATTAAGAAATGTTTGTGACATTTTGGGCTGGATGTTTAAGAAAAAAATAAAGACAGAGATGTTTGATCTAGGCTGGGAGCGGTGGCTCATGCCTTTAATCCCAGCACTTTGGGAGGCCGAGGTGGGGGCGGATCACCTGAGGTCAGGAGTTCGAGACCAGCCTGGCCAACATGGTGAAACCCTGTCTCTACTAAAAATACAAAAATTAGCTAGGTGTGGTGGTGCATACCTGTAATCCTAGCTACTTGAGAGACTAAGGCAGGAGAATTGCTTGAACCCAGGAGGTGGAGGTTACAGTGAGCCGAGATCACACCACTGCACTCCAGCCTGGGTGACAGAGAAAGACTCTGTCTCAAAAAAATAAAATAGGCCGGGCGCGGTGGCTCAAGCCTGTAATCCCAGCACTTTGGGAGGCCGAGGCGGGTGGATCACGAGGTTGAGAGATCGAGACCATCCTGGTCAACGTGGTGAAACCCCGTCTCTACTAAAAATACAAAAAATTAGCTGGGCATGGTGGCGCGTGCCTATAATCCCAGCTACTCCGGAGGCTGAGGCAGGAGAATAGCCTGAACCCAGGAGGCGGAGGTTGCGGTGAGCCGAGATCGCGCCATTGCACTCCAGCCTGGGTAACAAGAGTGAAACTCCGTCTCAAAAAAATAAAAATAAAAAATAAAATAAAATAAAATAATAAAAAAATAAAATAAAATAAAGAGAGAGGAAAGAGAGATGTCTGATCTAAAGGCATATTATAGATTTTCTTTCCAAACTGGGCTTACTCCATTTGCATTTATTGATGTGATGTGATGGATAGGTTTGCTCTTCATTCTGGCATCATGTTATGCTTTCTCTCTTGAGTGATTCCTTTGTTTTTCTTTCACACTGTGGTGTGTCTGTGATCTCTTCAGGCTCTTTCACTGGCTTGGCAATTTGGCATGCTATTTCTTCTGGAACCACCAAACTTTGTCAGGACGAGAGTGTCAGATATGCTAAGATGCGATCTGATGCATAAAATCTAAGACTCCACACACAAAGGCACTTTGTTTTACTGCTACATATTTGTGCCCTACACAGGAATTCTGATACATTCTATTTTGCCCGATGCCCATCAAAAGACAGGGAGAAAAATGGTTGGTTTGTTTATAATTACAAGCACAGCTTTAGGTAAGACACTCCTGAGAGAACTTTGATTTTGACTATAGTTAAGGAGACCCTTCTGCTTATAATTTCATCTGTCTGATAACTGGAAGGATTTTCTTTGGTTTGTTTTTTTGTTTATTTATTTTGAGATGGAGTCTTGCTCTGTCACCCAAGCTGGAGTGTAGTGGCGCAGTCTCAGCTCACTGCAACCTCTGTCTCCCAGGTTCAAGAGATCCTTCTGCTTCAGCCTCCCGAGTAGCTGGGATTACAGGTGCGCACCACCACACCTGGCTAATTTTTGTATTTTTGATAGAGACAGGGTTTCACCATGCTGGTCAGGATGGTCTTGAACTCCCAACCTCAAGTGATCTGCCCACCACGGCCTCTCAGTGTGGGATTATGGGCATGAGCCACTGCGCCCAGCCCAAAGAATTATCTCCACGCCAGCTCCTTTGCTCCACATCTTGTTCCTTCTCCAGCATCACGACATCTCAGTGCCTGGCACTGGAGGGCACATTTCTACTGTGATGTGACCTCTAGCCCTGCTCCTTCCTGTCACCAGATGAGTTAGCACAGAGGAAGGTAGGGTATCTCTACACCAGGATGGCCGGCATTACCTCAGTTACAGGTGGAGAAGCCGACAGACCTCATAAATGTATTCCATGTCATTTTCCCCTCACTCATATCCACTCCACCATCACTTGACATGAGGCAGAGGAGAATTCTGGGCCAAAAAGTGGTCTCCGGTTGAAGCAAAATTGCCTTGCCTACAGAAAAAATATATTTTTTTGAGATTGGGTCTTGCTCTGTTGCCCAGGCTGGAATGCAGTGGTGCAATCTTGGCTCACTGCAACCTCTGCCTCCCGGGTTCAAGCAATTTTCCTGCCTCAGTCTTCCGAGTAGCTAGAACTACAGGCGTGTGCCACCACGCCTGGCTAATTTGTATTTTTAGTAGAGACGGGGTTTTACTGTGTTAGCCAGGTTGGTCTCGATCTCCTGACCTCGTGATCCACCCGCCAAGGCCTTCCAAAGTGCTAGGATACAGGCGTGAGCCACCATGCCTGGCCACCTATCAAAATTTTACAGAGGCGGATGCCCGTGTGAACACGTGAGAGCCTTTCAACACCGGCCTCAACAGGGGCTCATGGAAGTGAAAGGCCCCAAACTTAGGCTTCTCTAGCTGTATAACAATTTAAAAATAAAATAAAATAAGAGGGTCGGGCGCCCTGGTTTGCCCCCAAAGGGTACACCTGGCCTCCCTGAATGGACCCACCTGCCCCCCGCCTGGCAGGAAGAAGCCCAACAAAAGAACAAAGATTCCCCAACAGTCCCAGGCTTGGAAAATGCACCTGCGGACAATGACATACTCGGGCAAAGGGCACTTTGGGCCCGGAAGGATTTCAGGAGCTACAGGGAGGGACGGCGGGCGACGCTGCGTTGTAGAAAGGGGGTGAGCTCGTTAAACTTTACAACCCCTCTGATAGGGACCCATTTCACAGAGGAAGAAGCGTGGGCTCAGAGAGGGTGAGGGGCTTGCCCTAGCTCACACAGCTGGAACTCAAACTTAGGCGTCCTTGATCTGACACCCAGGCCCCAGCTCCCTCGTCACGGATCCCTGGGATGCAGTTGAGCGCGGGCGGGCGGAACGGGCGGCTTCTGAGCGGACCACCCAATCCTCCCAACGGCTGTTCTCCGTGGCTGCTTCCCGAAACCCATTCTTCCCGGGCGGATCCTACAGAGGAGCTTCTCTCCTAGGATCCCGGGGCCTCAGTTTCCCTTTCGTGCGTGTGCTGGGGCAGGGACCTTCCTCTAGGGATGAGGAAGAGAGAGACAGGAGAGACGCCTGACCTTGCTGCCCCTTCGTGCTCAACCCCCGCCAGGGTTCCCCCGGAAGCCCCACCCCCGCCGCGCGGCCTGGCGGCCAGGAATGGGGCTCGGCCCCTTTAAATCCCGCCCGGGAACGCCCGGCGCTCAGCAGCGTCTTTCCCGGATCCGCCGACTGGAAAGTGCCTTCCCCGCGCGTCCCGTAACGCTTCCCGCGCGGCGCCCCCTGTCCCGCGCCGGCTTTGTAGCGGGTGCCGGGGCGGTCGCGAGAATGAGCCGCATCTACCAGGAAGGCGCGCTCCGGAACAAGGCGGTGCAGAGCGCGCGGCTGCCGGGGGCCTGGGACCCCGCCGCCCACCAGGGGTAGGCCTGGGCGCGCGGCTCGGGTCGGCCTCCCCTGCCCGGGATGGAACCTGCGCTAGGATGGGGGGCGGGATGCGGGTGGAGGAAAACGGAGGTCCCCGGGACTGCCTCTCAGCCTCCAGCTAGCCCCTCCTGCGCCCCTTCCGGCGCCCGCCCTGCAACCCCAGGACACAGATCGGCTTAAGGCTTCCCGCCTGTCGCCTGCCCTCAGGAGAGGGTCCCGACCCCCACGGGGGACTCCCGAGGCTGTGCGTCGCTTCACGCCGACCTCCGGCCCCACCCACCCCATAGCTAGAAACTTAAGCTGCCTCAGCACAGGCTCATGCCTTCACCAGAAGGGCAGTTGGCGGGGACAGCAGGCGGGCTGGTGGAGAGCAGGGCCTGCCTGGGTGAGGAAGATTTGGAGGGCCAGGCCCTGTCCTCACAGGGTTAAGAGGCCGAATGGACCATTCCATTTACCCTTGCACTAAAGAATTGTGCTAAGTGGCCGGGCGCGGTGGCTCAAGCCTGTAATCCCAGCACTTTGGGAGGCCGAGGCGGGTGGATCACAAGGTCGAGAGATCGAGACCATCCTGGTCAACATGGTGAAACCCCGTCTCTACTAAAAATACAAAAAATTAGCTGGGCATGGTGGCGCGTGCCTGTAATCCCAGCTACTCAGGAGACTGAGGCAGGAGAATCGCCTGAACCCAGGAGGCGGAGGTTGCGGTGAGCCGACATCGCGCCATTGCACTCCAGCCTGGGTAACAAGAGTGAAACTCCGTCTCAAAAAAGAAAAAGAAAGAAATAGTAGAATTGTGCTAAGTGAAATAAGCCAGACAAATGCTGTGTGATCTCCCATGTGGAATCTGAAAGGGTTGAACCATAGAAACAGCAGAACAGGCCAGGCGGTGGCTCACGCCCATCATCCCAGCACTTTAGGAGGCTGAGGCAGGTGGATCACTTGAGGTCAGGAGTTTGAAACAAGTCTGGCCCATGGGGAGACAAACAGCCGCCTCACTTGGCTCCTCTGATGAGGACATAAGATCATGTATGTGAAGGTGTTTTGGAAGATATTAAGTGCTTACCAAATATCAAAGATTTTACTTATTTTTGTTTGTTCAGTTGTTTTTTGAGACAGGGTTTCGCTATTTTGGCCAGGCTGGTCTGGAATTCTTGACCTCGTGATCTGCCGGCCTCAGCCTCCCAAAGCGCTGGGATTACAGGCGTGAGCCGCCACACCCAGCTGATTTCACTTTTTTATTAGGCCACATGTGCGGGGAAGTATTTAAGCTGCAATACATTATTTGCCACTTGTTTTTAAACATTCTCATATTCCTGTTCTCATTCATAGCCATGTGATCATTAACGCAAGGAAATGGTTAATAGCGAAATGGTTATTGGTGAAACCTGGTCTCGACTAAAAATACAAAAATTAGCAGGGAGTAGTGGCAGGCACCTGTAATCCCAGCTATTTGGGAGGCTGAAGCACAAGGATTGCATGAACCCGGGAAGTGGCGGTTGCAGTGAACTGAGATCATGCCATTGCACTCCAGCCTGGGCGACAGAGTGAGATTCAGTCAAAAGAAAAGTAGAACAGTGAACAGTGATTGCCAGGGAATAGTGGATGGGGGTGTGTGGAGGAGGGGTGGGGAGGGAAATTAGCAAAGGCACAAACTTTCAGTTACAGAATAAACAATTTCTGGGGATCTAATGTATAGCATGGGGTCTGGCAGGTGTGTTCATTAATTTGTGGTAACCATTACATAGTATGTACTTAAATCATCACCTTGTGCACCCTGAATACATACAGTCTTGATTTGTCAGTTAAATATCTCGAAAAATAATTGCTGGTGGTGGGGATGGGTTGGATAGAGTTTGGTAGAGTTTGGTTTGGTAGAGTTTTCCCTTCCCCTACCGTCCCTCTTTCACTGTCATCTCCAGCTGTCCCCACCCTTCTCCCATTTCTGTGGATGCGAAAGAGGAAGGCTTCAGGTCCTGCCTTTATAAAAGCCAGCGTCAGGAAGCCAGGGCTCTGCCTCCCCCGGTGAGGACTGTGTGATCTTGAGCTAGTCCCACACTTCTGAGTTTGGGTTTCTTCACCTCTCAGCAACAACCATTTCCTCAGGTTAATGACCACATGGATATTTAATATAAGAATGTTTAAAAACAGGTGGAAAGGGAAAATAATGTACTGCAGCTTAGATATGTCCCCTGGCGTTTGGCCTAATAAAAAAGTAAAGTATTTGATATTAGTAAGCACTTAATAGCTTCCAAAACACCTTTACGTACATGATCTTATGTCCTCATCAGAGGAGCCAAGCGAGGCGGCTGTTTGTCTCCCTGTCTTGTAGATGAGATTGAGGTTCTGGTTCCAGTAACTCCCAGTGGCCCTGTTGGAGGGGCCATAACTTGATCGTAGGGCAGCCCGACAAGGTTCCTCCTGGCATCTGGGCAGTACCCCAGCTTTTGGGACCTTTGCAGGATTGGAGGCCCCTACATAGGAAGCAGAAGTACAGGAGGCTCAGTACCCAGTCTGCTCGGGGCTGGGTGAATAGGACACAGGTGAGACTTGCTAAGAACTGACAGAACTAGCTCTCCCTTCCTTCCCATCCCCAGGGGAAACGGTGTGCTGCTGGAGGGAGAGCTGATGGATGTTTCTCGGCATAGCATCTTGGATGCCCATGGCAGGAAGGTGAGGATGCCTCTTTGGTGCTAGCTGGGGGGCACTGACTTCACTGTTGTCACCCACTGTAGCCTCTTCTTGTGTCCAACTCCAGTGCCATGACTTGGGATCTACCTCCTTTCTTGATGGGCTTAGAAAGCAAGTAGGAAGTAGGTCAGGAGATTGACAGCCACATGGGACCACCAGCTGGAAGGATAATGGTTTAAGGCTGCGTTGGGCAGCAGACAGGCGGGAAAGTCTGTGTTCTTGCCAGGAGAGCCCGGCTCATGGCTGAGAAGACAGACCAGGCCCTCAACCCCGATCTCACCTGATTGTAACCTCTGGCACTGTCTGGGCTTCCATTCCCATGTTGATGTCCTGGCTGCCTTTGCCCTCTCGGCCTCCTGGATCCTGCCCTATATTGCCACCCCATCTCAGGTGTCTTTGGGTACATCTGTCATTCACCATCTGGTACTAGCCTGTGTCTTTTTTCTGAGCACTAGTTCTGACTTTCCACTCTTCTTTCAAAAAGCCCCACCTAGGTGTGCTGACCACCTTATCTCCTTGGTCTCTATAATTGAGCTTGGTCTCTAAAAATGCCCTCTCCAATAGACCAGGGGCTGGTGCTACATGGAGCCTGCGTGACCCTCCTGTACCGTACAGGAACAGCCTCGGCCCCCAGCTCAGCACTGTTTTGATGTCGGGAAGTATTTTGCTGCACCTCCCCTCCTTAGCACACAGTCAGCAGGTGGGAACACCCATCAGAGCCCCGAGCCAGCCTGCCCGGGAGAGCCCAGCAGTGTCCCCATGCGGATGTGGGGCTCGCTTGCCTCTCCTGCCCTCACGCAGGCCCTTCTCCCAGCCCCTCTTCAAACTTGCCTCCCTGAGTTCCATTCCTGGTGATGGTGCACTTGCCCTCCCAGCCACCAGGCTGCGAACCCTCACTGTCTCCTCCCCAGGTAAGCAGTGCCGGGTCCTGCCGGGCTCCTCCGCTCCCCACCTTCCCTTCCTCTGTCCATGGCGGCTCACCTTAGAGGGGCCCTCAGCCTGTCCTGATGACACCTTGCTCCTGTCCCCCTGCCTTCTGGCTGTCCCCAGAGCCCATCCCTGCCCTGTTGCTAACAGGACAAATGTCTTTCCAGAAAGACATCTCTGAGGGTCTCGCCACTGCTCCGAAACCTTTCAGGATTCCTTGTCCATTAGATAAAATCCAAACTCCGAATGCCAACTCAAGGCCCATCCCGAACCGAGCCCACTTGCTTTCCCCGCCTGGGTTCTCGGAAGGCCTCTGGATGCCCTGCGTGGCTCAAACATGCACAGGGAACTCTTGACTTTTATTTTCTATACTGTCCCAGGCTTTTAATATTCTTCCTGCAGCTGCTTCTTCCACGGTTGCTGATTTCCTCACCCTCCCAGACTTCACCTTTCTTGATTCTACCAGAAAGTGGCCTCCTGTCCTGCAGGCCGTGGGAGCATTTCACCCACCTGCCTTGAACAGATGGCAAACAGCATTTACAGCACACTCACGCCTGGCACTGTGCTTGCCCCTCTGTTACCTCCTTGGACCCTAATAATATCTTTTTTTTTTTTTGAGATGGAGTCTCACTCTGTCACCCAGGCTGGAGATCAGTGGCACGATCTAGGCTTACTGCAACCTCTGCCTCCTGGGTTCAAGTGATTCTCCTGCGTCAGCCAACTGAGTAGCTGGGATTACAGGCACGTGCTGCCACACCCAGCTAATTTTTTGTATTTTTAGTAGAGACCAGTTTTCACCATGTTGGCCAGGGTGATCTCAATCTTGAAAGTGCTGGGATTACAGGTGTGAGCCACTGGTGTTGCGCCTGGCCAAACCCTCATAATATACTTAACCACAGATATCATGTTATCTCTATGTGGTGGGGAAACTGAGTGGTTTGTCCCAGGCACTGTGTCTTTTGGAAGGCGCAGAGTGGCTACCCTCACCCAGGGCTCCTTCTCAAGTGCCCACCTCAGCAGTGCCCATTCCTGCTTCATGATATCTGGGGTCCTCTGGCTTGGGTTTTTGTTTTTGTTTTGTTTTGTTTGAGATACAGTCTGGCTCTGACACCCAGGCTGGAGTGCAGTGGTGCAATCTCAGCTTCCTACAACCTCCACCTCCCGGGTTCAAGCGATTCTCCTGCCTCAACCCCTAAGTAGCTGGGATTACAGGCGTACACCACCATGCCCAGCTAATTTTGTATATTTTTGATAGAGACAGGGTTTCACCATGTTGGCCAGGTTGTTCTCGAACTCCTTACCTCAAGCGACCCACCCACCTTGGTCCCCCAAAGTGCTGGGATTACATGCGTGAACCACTGTGCCCGGCTGTGTTACAGTTTTCTGTATATAGTTTTTGTCTTTGGCTGTGTAGAAGCCCTGGCTTGCTCTGTTAGGAACTTCCAGCACAGCTCATTCTGCGTGGCAGGTGCTCCTGTGAACGCATGAATGAATAAATATTTGGGTGGGGGCATCTGCCCAGCTTGAATATCTTTTGGAACTGAGGACAGCATCCAGGGTAGATGTGAGGTCGGTGGGGTTGCAGCCAGAGCCCAGAGCGTGTGTGTTGTGGATGAGGCCGCCTCCCACTCTCTGTCTGCCTGGCCCCAGGAGCGCTACTACGTACTGTATATCCGGCCCAGTCACATCCATCGCCGTCAATTCGACGCCAAGGGAAATGAAATCGAGCCCAACTTCAGCGCCACCAGGAAAGTGAACACGGGCTTCCTTTTGTCTTCCTACAGTAGGTATCCTCCGCCCTCCCTGCCTCCCTCAGGGCCCTCCCGATACGTGGCAGTCTCTTGAGCCTCCTGGTCCCTGGAAAGTGTCTTTGCAGTGTGCTTGGCCTTGAAGCCCAAGTGTCTGGCCTGAAGCTTCCTCACCCATGCCTGGGGCTGCACCTTTTCCAGCCTCCCATTCACCCTGAGGATCCCTGTTCCCTCCCCTCAGTCCCAGGGCCCAGGCTGGCCTTACCACCCCGCGGCATTTCCTGTGTTTGACAGAATCCCCCACAAACCTGGCTTTGGGCTCCACCTGCCTTTGTGCAGAGCCCAGGCCAGGCCTCAGCGGTCTCTGTTTTCTTGCCCGAATCCTCGTTTGGTTCGGGGGTTCTATCTTAGGCCATGCGTGCTGTACAACAAAATACCTTAGGCCGGGTGATGTATAAACAACAGAAATGTGTTTTATTTTAACTTTTAAAATTTTGATTTATCTGTGCATTTTTAGTGGCTGAGTTATGCTGTGTAGCCCAGGCTGGAGAGTCACAGCTGTTCTCAGGTTCAATCATAGGACACTACAGTCTTCAAGTGATCCTCCTGCCCCAGCCTCCAGAATAGCTGGTGTATGCCACCACGCCTGCTTGACAACAGAAATGTCTTGCTTACAGTTCTGGAGTTAGGGAAATCCAGGGTCAAGGTCCAGCAGATTGGGTATCTGGGGAGGGCTGGCTTCGTGCTTCGAAGACAGTGCCTTTGTGCCGAGTCCTCAAATGGCAAAAGGCGAGGCAGTGCTCTCTTCGGCCTCTTCTGCAAAGGCGCTCATCCCACTCACATGGCATGACTTATCACTACCTTCACATTAGTGATGACGTTTCAACATACGATTTTTTTTCTTTTTCCTTTTTTTTTTTTGAGACAGTCACGTGATGTCGCCCAGGCTGGAGTGCAGTGGTACAATCTCAGCTCACTGCAATCTTCACCTCCTGGGTTCAAGCTATTCTCGTGCTTCACCCTTCTGAGCAGCTGGGATTACAGGCATCTGCCACCATGCCTGGCTAATTTTTGTAGTTTTAGTAGAGACAGGGTTTCACCATGTTGGCCAGGCTGGTCTTGAACTCCTGACCTCAAGTGATCCACCTGTCTTGGCCTCCCAAAGTGCTGGGATTACAGACATGAGCCACCACACCCAGCTATGAATTTTTTTCTTTTTTTAAAATTTTAGGCGTGTGTGTTGTGGGATGAGGCATCTATATTACGTGCCAGCCCTTGTGCCACATGAGGAGGAGTCCAGGGATGACCAAGACCCGGTTGTATACCTGAGATGTTCTTAGTCTGGTAGAGGAGAAGGACAGGCCTGGGGCTGGGTTCCAGGAAGGGTGCTGAGCCCAGGAAGGCAGGGCTGGGGATGCCTTGGAGTGGGGAATGCCAGTACTGAGTCCTAAAAGATAAGCAGAGGCCAACCCAGTGCCAGGCATTTGCAGGGCATTTCAGAGGCAGCGGGTGCCCAAGGCCTGGAAGTTTTGGGATTCCTGACCCAGGTGTGAGAAGCCATGCAGGGCAGGCAGCAGGAGGGGCGGCTCTGAGGAGCGCAGCTCTCACCAAGGGTATAGGGGCAGGCCTGAGGAGCGCAGCCCTCACCAAGGGTGCAGCAGAGCCCTGTAGTATGCAGTTTCAAGTAGGCAAGTGATGTGATGAGGTCTGTGTTTGAAAATCCCCAGGGAGGTAAATAGCCTGGAGCCCAGTGGGGCCTGTGGAGAAGCTGTGATGGTCACCTAGGACAGAGATAAGAAGGCTGGGATTGGCCAGGCGCCGTGGCTAACACTTGTAATCCTAACACTTTGGGAAGCCGAGGTGGGTGGATCACGAGGTCAGGAGTTCAAGACCAGCCTGGCCAACATGGTGAAACCCCATCTCTACTGAAAATACAAAAAATTAGCTGGGCATGCTGGCGCATGCCTGTAGTCCCAGCTATTCAGGAGGCTGGGGCAGAAGAATCACTTGAATTCGAGACGTGGAGGTTGCAGTGAGCCAAGATCATGCTGCTGCACTCCAGCCTAGGCGACGGAGAGAGACTCTGTCTCAAGAAAAAAAAAAAAAAAAAAAAGAAGGCTGGGATTAAGGACCCGTCCATGGGGGTGCAGAGCCTGGAGCAGCTCAAGCTAGAGGAGGCTCAGTGGCCTCCGTGTTGGCTTAGCTATTGAGGGAGGGAGAGGAGAAAGGAGTCATGATGACGCCAGGGCTTGGGCATGGGTGCCAGGCTCAGGGGAATGGAGGAGTGAGAAGTTTGCTGGGAGGAGGTCTGTCTGGAACACACTGAGTTTGAGTTGCCGGAGCTCTGCTGGGTAGAGGTCCTCTGAGGACTCAGAGGACAGTTCTAGAACTTGGGGAGAGAACTGGGCTGCAGCACTTTGGGAGTGTTGAAGCTACGGAAATGGACCAGGTGACCCAGGAGGAGAAAAGCAATGGGCCCCGGAGGCTGTTGTGGGAAACTGCAACCATCGGAGGTGGATAGAGATGGAAGAGCAGGAGATGGAGCCACTGAAAGATCTGAGGGATGGGGAAGGTGTCATCACTCTGGCAAAGCCCAGGGGAACAGGTGTGCACAGCTAGCATGGGGTCAGGCACTGCCCAAGAGTTAGTCAGGTCTGAGATATGGAGCATCTAAGAGGTTTGCAGGGAAAGAGCTCACCAGTGACTCTGGTGGGGTAGACAGGGTCTGGAACAGCAGGTGTCAAAGCCAGAATGCAGGAAGGCCTTGAGGAAGGGTCGAGGAGTGGGGAGGGAGAGACAGCTCCTCAGGAGGAGAGGGGGTCAGCAGCCCAGGCAGGGGAGCTGGCTTGAGACAGGAGGAGAGGCCTCATATTCTTTGAGACAGGAGGAGATGTTTTGTGTGGTCAGAAGTAAGTTGACCGCTGGGCGTGGTGACTCAAGCCTGTAACCCCCAGCACTTTGGGAGGCAGAGGCGGGTGGGTCACTTGAGGTCATGAGTTCAAGACCAGCCTGGCCAACATGGTGAAACCCCATCTCTACTAAAAATACAAAAATTAGCTGGGCATGGTGGTGTGCACCTGTAATCCTGGCTACTTGGGAGGCTGAGACAGGAGAATCGCTCAAACCCAGGAGGCGGAGGTTGTGTTGAGCCAAGATCGCACCACTGCACTCCAGCCTGGCAACAGAGCAAGACTCTGTCTCAAAAAAAGAAAAGAAAAAAAAATGAGTTGACAGGTAGGTGGTGTCAGGGAAGTGAGGGCCCCACTTGATGGCTTCTGTTATCTTGCAAAGAAGGTGAGATGCTTTGTCTAGGGGTGTCGGGGTGGATGACTGAGGAGAATGGAGTGGAGCTGGCGGGGGCAGCCATCTGTGCAGTCCCAGAAGGCATCCCTGGCAGAGGTGGGCTGAGGTTGTGCACCATGAATGAAATGTGCTCTATGAAATGTGTTCATGGGTTGGCTGGGATGTTCTTCAGTGAGGTGTGGCCAGATGGGCTTGGCGTGGCACAGGCAGCCTGTGGGATGAGCCTGGGGTTGCTGTGCTGGAGTATGGCCTTGTGAACACCCAGCCCTGTGAGGCTGGGCCCACTTCACAGTCCAGGGGTGCCCCTCCCCTAATCCAGCACCTGGATTTAGGACTCCTTCCTCAGCCCATGAACTCTGCCAGGGCCAGCAGATAGGAGGGGGACTACCAGAGTTTACTCCTGCTTCCAGCAGACCCCACCCCAGCCAGGGAGATCCCGAGCGCCTGGAGAGAACCCTGCCTGGCCACTGGGGTCTCAGTGAGAAGGTGGAATTGTGTTGGGGTGCTTTGAATCCTGCCTCCTATACTACCATGTGACCTTGAGCTAATGACTGAACCTCTCTAAGCTTTGGTTTTCTCATCTGTAAGATGGGAATAGTGAAAACATTTGAATGCCCACTGAGGGTTCCACATGCCAGGTGCTGTGCTGTGTGCTTTATCTCCTCTATACATCATGTCAGTCCTGTCAGATAGGGACCGATTTTATCCTATTTTCAGATACAGAGAGGTGATGTAACTTGCCCGAGTTATTGGCCAGGCTGCCTGGCCCAGCCCACGCTCGTCCGCCTCTGCTGTGGAGTTCCTGGATGAGGACTCGCAGAACAGGCACCGAGTCCCAGCCTCCGGGTGACTGATCCTGGAAACACTCAGCTCTCGCCTGGCTCCTGAGGGGCCCTGCGAAAGTGCTTCCTGCCACAGTGATAATGACCCTCCCGCGCTCTGTCCCTGCAGAGGTAGAAGCCAAGGGCGACACTGACAGGCTCACACCTGAGGCACTGAAGCAGCTGGTCGAAAAGCCAGAGCTGCTGGCGCTGACAGAGCACCTCACCCCCGACCACACAGTGGCGTTCTGGATGCCTGAGTCTGAGATGGAGGCAATTGAGCTCGAGCTGGGGACCGGGGTGCGGCTGAAGACGCGGGGTGACGGTCCCTTCCTGGGTGAGCAGCGTAACCCTCACTCTGGCCTGCCGTTCCTGAGTGGCTCATGAGGGCTCTCAGCCTCCTTCTGTCTAGAGATCATAGGACAGGCAAGGGCTGGCCTCCATGGGGACATGACCAAGCCCTTGAAATTGACTCCTAAATCTCTGCACAAGTGCCCTGGGGCCATTAGGCCCAACAGCCTGGGTCCTGGGGTGCCACCCAATCCCACAGTTCCTGTGAGTGACCTCTCTCCACCATACCTTGGAGGTCCCACTGGGTCCCCTAGGGCCTCACTGGCCACACCTAGGCCTGGAGGAAACAGTGGCTTAACCCAGGCCTAGGGGACCCAGCAGAATGGGCCCAGCCCTCACTATGTTTCTCCCACAGGGACAGAGGACATTCAACTTCATCTCTTCTTTCAGAGTCTTTGGCCAAACTTGAGGCTGGGACCGTGACCAAGTGTAATTTCGCTGGCGATAGAAAGACAGGGGCATCCTGGACAGACAACATCATGGCCCAAAAGTGTTCAGACGGGGCTGCAGCGGAGACCCGAGAGCAGGGAGACGGGGCAGAGGACGAAGAGTGGGTGAGTCAGCATGGAGGTGCTCCTGGAGTTGGGGCGGTTAAGTCTCCTGGCAGGAGGGTGGCACATACTGGCTGAGTTTGTGGGGAGGATGAAGAAGTCACAGGGTGAATCTTAGCCCCCAGCTTTCGTGGAATTCTGCAAAATTCCTGGGAGTATGTTAGCACCAGGAAAATTCCTTTAAGGTGTGAAGAATGACGTCCTGGGGCCTTTCTTGAAGTTGGCTCTGAACTAACCGCGTGAAGCCCCAGAGATTCCAGCCCCAGAGATTCCCGAGTGGTAGGAAGGAGGGGTGCAAAGGGGTATTAATGATGGTCACTGAGTCTCGAAACATTTCCACTTCAGGTGAATGCATCGGCCACGTTGAGGCAGTTGAGCAGCCCAATGTGTGGCTTTCCTCCTTTGATTTGGGCTCCTCGCCTGAAGCGTCTGGAGAATGGCTGACCTGGTCCTTTCTGGATGTTCTTTTGCTGAGAGTCAGTCCACTTGTTGATCCTCAGCCTATTCACAATTGCTTTTCTTTTCTTTTTTTTTTTTGGAGATGGAGTCTTATTTTGTTACCCAGGCTGGAGCACAGTGGCATGATCATGGCTCACTGCAGCCTCGAACTCTGGGCTCAAGTAATCCTCCCACCTCGGCCTCCCAAGTAGCTGGGACTGTAGGCATGCGCCGTCGCACCCGGCTAATTTTTTTTATTTTTTGTAGAGACGAGGTCTTGCCATGTTGCCCAGGTTCACAGTTGTTTTTCTGAAGTATATTTTACCCAAAGATTTGAACTGATGTCAAAAGGCCCCAAAATGAACATTTAAAGCAAAGAAGTCACAGAAAAATGGGCTATTTAGCTAGGTGATGGAGAAGATGTCTTTTGCCAGAGAAAGCAGGGGCAGGCAGATGAGAGTGTCTGGATTCCTTTTTGTCTTCTTAAAGTGAGTCTTGGACGGGAAAACAGTTGCAGCTGCGGGGCCAGCTGTACTGAGGCAAGGCCCCGGCAGGCACTCAGGGACCCCAAAGGCACCACGCAATTGAACCCTTGTTTGTCTCATAACTTGCAGCGACACTTACGACATGTGCTCTCTCCACATCTCTTTACTTTTCCCCTTTGATTTCTCTAGGATGACTGAGGTGAGTGGGATGCAGATGCCTCTGGGGCCACCAGCACCTTCGGTAACATTGTTGGGAAGCTCTTCCATCAATTACTCTGGAGCTGGAGAGGACAGTCTGCCAAGTCTTACCTGGTTCTTCCGCACAGCTGTCTTGGAAGACTCTTTGAACAAGCTCTGCTAGAACCAAACCCATGACCACTGTGTTGGTGATAGGGCCCCATGCTGTGGCTCACGGAGGGCCCCTCCCTGCATGTGAGTCTAGCCTTCCTAGACAGTACATGAGGACCCTTTAAAAAAAATTAGACTTTGGGAGGCCGAGGCGGGCGGATCACGAGGTCAAGAGATCGAGACCATCCTGGCCAACATGGTGAAACCCCGTCTCTATTAAAAAATACAAAAATTAGCTAGGCGTGGTGATGCGCACCTGTAGACCCAGCTACTCGGGAGGCTGAGGCAGGAGAATCTCTTGAACCTGGGAAGTGGAGGCTGCAGTGAGCTGAGATTGCGCCACTGCACTCCAGTGCTCCAGCGTGGCAACAGACTGAGACTCTGTCTGAAAAAACAAAAATTAGAGATGGAGATCTCCCTATGTTGCCAGGTTCTCCTCAAACTCCTGGACTCAAGCAATCCACCCACCTCGGCCTCCCAAGGTGTTGGGATTACAGGCGCAAGCCACTGTCCCTAGCCTCATGACCACCCTGGCCCTAATGGCAGCCTTGTTTTTGAAGGCAGGTGGTGGGAGAGCGCCCAGGGCAGCCTAGGAGGAACTGGTCCTGGTCTCGGTGAAGCATGGGGAATACCCCTTGTCTAAATGCAGAGCGGCTGAGAGAAGTTAGCGGGGCACTTCCTCTTTTCTCATGGGTTCCTGCTTTCCTTCCCAACCACCCCACCCTCAGCACTCTGTGTTGGAGCCTCTACTATCCTGCCTCAAGCCTTCAGGTCCCCTGTACCCTTCCCCCGTGAGTTGTCATTTCTTATTCCCCCACTGATCCCATGCCCCTTGGGGGTTCCTGTCATCTGATACCCCTGGCCGCCTTCCTGGTAGATGCCATTCCAGAGAGGCCAGTAGCGTTCCCAGGTGTGGCTGGCTGGTCCGAATTGATCAGACTTACTCTGCCAGGCTGCAGTTAGGATAATACCTTTGCTGTTGTTTTGTATCTGGAGAACTTTTTATGAATGAGTAAATCTTCAGAAAGGAATTCCTCTACCCTGACTGGGTTATTGCCAAGTGTGAACGGCCTTTCAGCTGAGCCGTGTTCCTGTGAGAAGGAAGCCATTTCTCTTGGGTCATGAGCACTGCCTGTGTGGTGGTACACCCACATCCAGGTCTGTGAGAGGCCTGGAGCTGAAGTCTCTATATCATCAGGACTTGGTGGATCCTGCTTGACTTGGGAAAAGAGAGGGTGGTGGTGAACTCATAATTATGGAGTCCCTTGAATGTGTCAAAACACAATGCCAGATGATTTCCATGATAATAAGGACTCACGCTTGTGCTAAGCACTTGGGAGATCTTATTTGTCACAACAGTCCATGAGATACTGATTATTATCCCCATTTTCCATGAGACTAAAGCTCAGAGCTCTAGGATAGTATACAGTGGCAAGAGGAATTGACACCCAAGTACCCAGATTTTAAAGCCCACATTCTCAACTACTGAACTATTTATATTACAGAGCAGGAAAAGGGTCTCAGAGAGGTTACACAACCTGCCCAGAGTCACACAGCTAATGAGTAGCAGAATCAAGATTCAAACCCACAGCTGTCAAAAGCAAACCCTATGTTCCTTCCACTTCCTTACCCTTCAGAAAGGTCTTGGATTCAGGGGCCAGAGGATGTGGTAGCCGCTTCACTGGTGTTCCATGTCTGAATGGGACTTTCTCTCAGGCAGGCTATGCTGGAACCTATCCATGGAGGTGGCCAGGGAGGTGGCTGAGCAGAAGGATTGCTGGGGACACTGAGCGGGGGTTGAGTCACCCAGTGGGGACATACTGCTGTCTAAAGCACTGTGGCCAAAGGGTATGGCAAATAAATGGCCAGGGCACCATTCCAAACAAGGAGGCCCAATGTGTCAATAGCAGAGGTCCTAAAGCAACAGAAAGGGTGGGGCATCCTGCAGGGGCTTCAGGAAGGAAAGGCCACTCGTGGCTGGAGCTAAGTGAGTGGGGGCTGGTGTGTGAGATGAGGCTGGAGAGTGGGCATGGCCTCCTTAGGCGTGGTAAGGAACCGAGGACTATCCTGGAAGCCAGGGATCCCATGGAGAGTGATAAGATCCGATCTGTGTTTCAAAGATCGCTTGGCCGCTGAGCAACTGGAGGCGAGGAGCTGCTTTAGGAGGTGGCTGCCATTGCTTGGGTGAGAGGCTGGAAGGGTTTGCTTTACAGCAGTGGCAGGGCAGATGGACAGAAGTTAATGGTTTGAGGGGCATTCGGGGGCAAAACCAACAGGACTGGGGGAAGGCGAGGGGGTCAAGCAGATTCTGGGTGAGTGGCGGTGCTGTGGTGCACAAGCAGTGCTGTTACGGTTCTCGGGGACTTGCTGTTTAGCAGGAGCCCAGCCTGTGGCTAGGAGGTATAGAGAACTGAGCCCAGCTCCCTTGGGATGGGAAAACCAAGTGGGCTGAGGGTAAGAATAGGGCCCCAGAGCGGGGTGTGGTGGCTCCCAGCACTTCGGGCAGCCGAGGTGGGTCGATCACTTGAGGTCAGGAGTTCAAAACCAGCTTGGTCAACACAGTGAAACCCCGTCTCTACAAAAAAAAATACCAAAATTAGCTGGGCATGATGGCATGTGCCTGTAGTCCCAGCGATATGGGAGGCCGAGGCATGAGAATTTCTTGAACCTGGGAGGTGGAAGTTGCAGTGAGCTGAGACTGCCATTGCACTCCAGCCTGGGTGACAGAGTGAGACCCTGTCTCAAAAAGAAAAAAAAGAAAAGGATCCCAGGCTCAGGAGGTAGGGAAACTGACAAAAAACCCAATTCCCTGGGACTAGGGACTAGGAAGGAGAAGATGGAATGCTGCTGTGTCTCAGAGGCTCCCTGGGCACCCAGGGCTCATCCTAGCACCATGATAGAAGACAGCGAACAGCCACACTGTCTCCAGCTCCCCAGCAGATGGTGGGGCCGAAGCCCCTGATTTTCCGCACCTCCTGCCAGGTCAGGGCTGACTTAGGCCTGAGGGCAGGCCCAGCCAGGGCAGCCTTCCCAGATACACCTGTGGGGAGCTAAGGAAATAAGGCAGGGCTGAAACCCGGCTTCCAGGGGCCCCCGTGTGGCTGCCAGGGGCAGCTTTTTGGAGCTAGACTGGATCCTATTACTCCCCAAATGAAAAGTTTGAATTTCTTAACACAACTCAGGGCTCATCACGACATCACTGCCCTCCTTTTTCTGCTCACTTCCTTCTTATGAGCTCTGGGACAATCCCTCCAGACCAGCCCGAGGGACCTTCCACAGGTTGTTAATAGGGCTAGAAAGAAAAAGTGGTGGTGTGCCTGTGATCTGATTTGTTGGAACAAACGTAATATTTCAAACATTTCTGTAGGATTTCTCAGAGCCTTTAAAATACTAACGTTTACCATGACTCTTCAAGGCAGGGTGTGATTATGTATTGCCCACATTTCCTTGGTCATAGAAGCCATTTTTGTGAGGAGCATTTCACGGGACAGCTGCCCTGAGAAACAGTTTGGGAAGGGCTGTATGGGTCCCATGGAGGGCTGGCTGCTCCCGGAGAAGGCCACTCCCCCATTTCCACTGCCTGGCCTGGGCTCTTCTTGGGAGGTCCCTTTCCTCTATCCATCTGAATTTCTTTTCTTCCACCAATGTCCAGCTTGCCTTTCACTGTGGGCCTAATGATGGAAATTGACAGTTATTTTATATCTTCAAACAGAAACAAGCAAATACTCTGAGCTTCCATTCATACGGAAAAAAATAATTTTTTTTTTTTTTTTTTTTTTTTTTTTTTTTTTTGAGACGGAGTTTCACTCTTGTTGCCCAGGCTGGAGTGCAATGGCTCAATCTCGGCTCACTGCAACCTCCACCTCCTGGGTTCAAGAGATTCTCCTGCCTCAGCCTCCCGAGTAGCTGGGATTACAGGCACGTGCCACCACGCCCAGCTAATTTTGTATTTTTAGTAGAGATGGGGTTTTGCTATGTTGCCTAGGTTGGACTCGAACTCCTGACCTCAGTGATCTGCCCCCCACTCCATTGGCCTCCCAAAGTACTGAGATTATAGCCACGAGCCACCACACCCAGCTGATATGGGAAAATTTTTGAGGGACTTAACTCATCTCCATAAATAGCAATGCACTTAGGAAATATATTTAAAAGGGAAAAAAAGACTCATAATTTCACTCAGTCATGATTGTAATTTTTAGTGTTTGGGCTTTTTAACGTGTAATTTCTGTATATCGTTTTGGTTTTTGTAAACCTGCATAGGGAGTTTCTGGTACAAATGAGAAAACCTGCTAGACAAATTCTAAAAAACCTGTCATGTTTGTACGTAGTTGTTGTAACACTATGCCCACACATAACATTAGATATGACTTTTTCGATTAATGTTGCATAATGACTTTCCATATTGCTGCAGAGGCTTTGTAACAATTATTTCCAAGATTGCTGCCATGGGGTAGTCCGTCATGGTCCAACTATTATATATTTAGATTGATCCCTGTGTGGCCAACAGAATTCATGTTTCAAACAATGTTGAAAATTATATAGTTCCCTGAATTCCCCACCTCCAGCTATATTTTGGGGTTATTTCTTTAGGAACAGATTCCCAGGAGTCATACTATTGAGAATCTAGAAATCTTTTGTAAAGTTGTTATATTGCCAAATTGCTTCCCAAAAGGGTTGTTCTATAGTTTCACCAGCAATGTAGGAGAGAACCATTTTCATGCTGCCCTTGCCAGAGCAGGGTATGAAAACATTTTTAAAATGATATTTGATAAGGTAAAAATAATATTTACTATATTTTAATTTGCCTTTCCCACAACTTATAGTGAGCATTAAACATTTTTTCCTTTTCCTACTGTATTTCTCCTTTTGTTATTCAGTTCTTTCATCCATTTATCTACTGGGTAGATGGGGGCGTGATATCTTTTTAGTTTATCAGAGTTATTTATGTTTTAAACATAACCATTTGCCAAATTTTAACAATTTTTTGGTTCTTTTTTTAAAAGAATTATTATATTTTTCTTTTCTTTTCTTTTCTTTTTTTTAATAGAGACAGGGTTTCACTCTGTTGGCCAGGATGGTCTCGATCTCACCTCATGATCCACCTGTCTTGGCCTCCGAAAGTGCTGGGATTACAGGTGTGAGCCACTTCGCCCAGCCTGGTTAATTCCTTTTTCAAAAAAAAAAAATCTTTACTTACCTGTTGATGTTTTGTGATTTTTTTTATTGCTTCTAAGCTAATACATATTTTTGGATATTATTCAATTTCATTTTTTTCTATTTAGGTTATCTGGTTTTATACTTAACTACTTATTTTCAAATTGCTAACCAGTTATCCTAATAGTGTTTACTGAATTCCTTCTCACTCTTACATCACATATTAAAATTATTTTATGCCGAAATTATCTATTTCAGTTAGTCTTCCTATAATTAGATTTTATAGTACAATTTTAATAGTTGACAGGGCTAGTTCTTCTTCATAATTCTGTTTGAGAATTTTCTTTTATATTCTTCCTCAACATTTTAAACATTTTGTCAAGTTTCAGTGCAATTGACTTTGGGTTTTTATATATTAAGAAACTGGGCCGGGCCGGGCGCCTGTAATCCTAGCACTTTGGGAGGCCGAGGCGGGTGGATCACATGGTCAAGAGATCGAGACCATCCTGGTCAACACGGTGAAACCCCGTTTCTACTAAAAATACAAAAAATTAGCTGGGCATGGCGGCGCGTGCCTGTAATCCCAGCTACTCAGGAGGCTGAGGCAGGAGAATTGCCTGAACCCAGGAGGCGGAGGTTGCGGTGAGCCGAGATCGCACCATTGCACTCCAGCCTGGGTAACAAGAGTGAAACTCTGTCTCAAAAAATAAATAAATAAATAAAAATAAAAAACTGGGCCATGCCAGGCCCAGTGGCTCACAGCCTGTAATCCCGGCACTTTGGGAGGCCGAGACAGGTGCATCATTTGAGGTCGGGAGTTCAAGGGCACCCTGGCCAACGTGGTGAAACCCATCTCTACTAAAAATACAAAAATTGTCCAAGCATGGTGGCATGCACCTGTAATCCCAGCTACTGGGGAGGCTGAAGCAGGAGAATTGTTTCAACCCGGAAGACGGAGGTTGCAGTGAGCCAAGATCGTGCCACTGCACTCCATCCTGGGTGACAGAGTGAGATTCCATCTCGAAAAAAAGAAAAGAAAAAAACTGGGCCGGGCATGGTGGTGGTTTGGGAAGCTGAGGCTGGAGGAGTGCCTGAGGCCAGCAGTTTAAGGTAACAGTGAGGTGTGATTGTGCCACTGCGCTCCAACCTGGATAAAACACTATCTCTAAAAAACAAGCAAACCCCAAAACTCTGGCTGCAGAAGTAGTACATATTTATTTGAAGGAGAAAAAGGAGAACTTGATCATCCTGCCACCCAGAGATGCTTTTAAATCACTTCTGTGGAACTCAGCGGTGCCATGCACTGTTCCAAGTGCTCACAAATGTTTTAATAACTCCTTTTGTGCGCATAACAACTGTCTGCAGTTGGTAGGCTCATTTTCCAGTTTTACGGTTTAGGAAACTGATATGACACCTTTTCTACAAATGAGAACCTTGCACAGCGTGCCGAGGCAGTCCACCTTGCCCAGGGAGCCCACCAAGTCCACAGAACCAGGCTTTCAATCAGGGCAGGTGGTTCTACAGGCCTGTATGGATCAAACACCCTGACTCTGCCAGCCCATCAGATACATTATTCCTATGTTGGTGTATATACCTCCAAACTTGTGCAAAGTCGGTCGTCCCTGTACATACTTTGTGTAATATTTCTGCTTAACAGATGTCATGAACACTTCTGTATCATAAACCTATCCCAGCATTTTTATTAGTTAATATTTCTCATATTCATGTAGAACAATGCACTTAACCAATTTCTCATTTTGTAATAATTTTCTTCCTATTTCCCCTGTAATAATACTGCTAAGATATATATTCTCTTCTTTTTTTTTCTTTTTCTTTAAGTGTTCTGAACATACTCTGGCAGAACTGTATGTTTCTGAGGCTAAATCTTTTCACACATCCACAATCATTTGATCATAAATTCTAAAACTGGAAACGCTGAGCCTAATATTATACATTATATAATATGTAATATATATATATATATATATATATATATTTTTTTTTTTTTTTTTTTTTTTGAGAGGGAGTCTCGCTGTGTTGCCAGGCTGGAGTGCAGTGGTGTGATTGCAACCTATGCCTCCCGGGTACAAGTGATTCTCCTGCCTCAGCCTCTGCGTAACTAGGATTATAGGCGCCCGCTACCACGCCTGGCCAATTTTTGTATTTTTAGTAGAGACGGGGTTTCACCATGTTGGCCAGGCTGGTCTCGAACTCCTGATCTCAAGTGATTTGCCCGCCTCCGCCTCCCAAAGTGCTGGGATTACAGGCGTGAGGCACCGCGCCCGGCCCGTTAGATATTTTAAAGGCTTCTTTCTGATTCATATTGCCAAACAGTCCACTGGATCGATGTACAGCTCTATCTTGCTCCATCTGCAGTATTCACACGGGCTCCTCTTCACCTACACTAGGTCATTAAAATAACAACAACAAAAAAATAAGACCATGACCGATTAGGGATCGCCGAGACTTTTTAAATGAAAATGCACTAAAAATCCTTAATTCCACCATTCACCGTCTACCACGGAGAAACGGCCCATGTACACGGGGAGACAGCCACATGATTCACTGGGCATTGAATACTGAAACATAAAAAAGGAACGAAATGGTCCTCAACCGCTGAATGGCCGAAAGCCTGGCGTTTCCACGCCGCGGAACGTTCTGCAAGCGCTAAGGGAAGGCGGGGGGTGCACGTTTAGGGACGGACGGTGAGAAAAGCAGCTCCCGCGGTCTCTCCGTTTTGGCAACCAGGCCGTGGGTCAAGTTTCGGCTTCTGGAGGCAGCGGTCGGTCTGGGCGAGGGACACAGACCCGGATTCGCATCCTGACAGGGCCCTGACCGGCCAACCGACGTTGGCCGAGGTGACGACGCTCCTCGGCACCCGCACCTGCCCTCTGCAGGGTACCCCGCCACTCGCTCCGAGCGTCCGTGAGGCCGGACTCTTGGGTGCCAGGGCTCCTGGGCGCCGGGGCCATGTTTCCCAGGGTCGCTCTCAGTGACGCACCAACCGGAAGTGACCATGTTGTGGCGGAAGGAGGCGCTTTCTGGGAGTAGCTGGTGCTGAGTGAACCGTGGCCGGTAAAGATGATTCAGGCGATTCTGGTTTTCAACAACCACGGGAAGCCGCGGCTAGTCCGCTTCTACCAGCGTTTCGTGAGTGCGGCCCGGCTTCACCACGCCCCTTCAGGGCTCCCCCTACCTCGTCCCTCCTCTCGGGCCCCTCGGCACCCGGGGGCCTCGCTCTTTGGTCACCTGGGGCCCCTACCCGGTGTATGGCCCCCGCCTTATTTAAACATAGCCTGGGCGCGGGCCGGTGCAGGGCCTGTGTCTCCCGCCCTGTTGCCCCCGCTCTGAGCCCTTTCTAGATCCCGGCATTTCTGTGCCATTTTCCCTTGGGTCTCTGGGAACGAGATAGAACAGACAGTGGGGAGTGTGCCTCGTTCAGCGCTTGAATGATTGACGTCACGTGCTGTCATCTTTTTGGTTGTTGACCGTGGTTTCGCGATGAAGTATTCAGTTTCTGAAAGTTTTTGTTACAGCCAGAGGATCTGGAAAAGTTCTTTTTATGGAATTATTTTGCTTCGCTGTTGGCTGGAACTTTCCAGAGACTAGATACCCTTCTCTCTGTAGTATTGAAGAAAATCAGTTTAAAAGTGGAAAAATGAGAAATTATAAATGCCACTGCCTAAGGGCTCAATAAGTGATTACGTAAATTTGAATTTTCCAGACATGTTGCTTTGCAAACACATAAGCATCAGTATTTGCCTATCGTCTTTGAAGATTTTATTTCTTCATGGCGGGGTTTCAACATGTTACATAATTGGAGGACGGGTGAAACTGAAAAGGGGAAAAGAGTCAGAAAACACGTTCAGGCTTCAGCGCCACCTTTTGTACTCTAGCATCTGTTGACAAATTAATAAACCCTTTTCGGACTTTTATTCCGTCTTTTGTCAATTAGGAATGAAAATTTTACTCCTTCATAGGATTTTTTATTTCTTGAGACATAGTCTTGCTCTGTTTCCCAGGCTTGAGTGCAGTGGTGCGATCTTGTCTTCGCGCCCCGGGTTCAAGCGATTCTCCACTTCAGCCTCCCAAGTAGCTGGTGGGGGGGACTACCCGCCACCATGCCCGGTTTATTTTTGTATTTTTAGTAGAGACCGGGTTTCACCATGTTGGCCAAGATGGTATCGATCTCTTGACCTCGTTATCCTCCTGCCTTGGCCTCCCAAGGTGCTGGGATTACAGGCGTGAACCACTGCCCTCCAGCCCAGTTTACTTATTTAAAGGGGACATTCAATGTTGCATGTTCACAGAGCTGCACAACCATCACCACAAGCAATTTTAGATCATTTTCATCACCCCAAAAACAAATCTCTTAGCAGTCATTCCGTATTTCTCTACTGATGCTCTCCGCTCTAGAGAGTCTGTCTTTCCCTCTAAATTTGCCTATTCCAGGCATTGCATATAAATGGAATCATAAAACAGGTGTTTTTTTCTGTCTGCCGTCTTTCGTGAAGTATAATGTTTTCAAGATTCATCCATGCTGTAGCATGTATCTGATGTTCTTTTATTGCTGAATAATATTCCGTTTTATGGATATGCCATATATTTTGATTGTCTATATGTTGCTGTTTCTACTTTTTGGCTCTTATAACTAATGCTGCTATGAACATTCTTGTGCAAGTTTTTGTGTGGACCTGTGTCTTCGTTTCTCTTGGTTATATACCCAGGAGTAGAATTGCTGGGTCATGTGGTAATTATAGTGAACATTTTGAGAAACTGCAAACTATTTTCCAAGTGGCTGCACCATTTTACGTTTTCGTCAGCAGTGTATAAGAATTTCGGTTTCTTCACATCTCTGCCATTAACTAATCTGTTTTTTTGATTAAAGACATGTTAGTGGGTGTAAAGTGGTATCTCATTGTGGGGTCCCCCTCCCTCAGCCCCTGAGACTGAGTCTCACTCTGTTGCCCAGGCTGGAGTGCAGTGGTGTGATCTTGGCTCACTGCAATCTCTGCCTCCCAGATTCAAGCCATTCTCTTGCCTCAGCCTCCCGAAGATTACAGGTGTCAGTCACCATGCCCGGCTAATTTTTGTTTTTTTCAGTAGAGATGGGGTTCCGCTGTGTTGGCCAGGCTAGTCTCAAACTCCTGACCTCAAGTAACCTGCTCACCTCGGTCTCCCAAAGTGCTGGGATTACAGGTGTGAGCCACCTTGACTGGCTTATTGTGGTTTTGATTTCAATTTCCATAATGACTAATGATGTTGAGCATCTTTTCATGTGCTTATTGACCATTTGTATATCTTTGAAGATCATAGGATTTTATAAGACCTCATGAGCACATAAATGAAAGTACGTTGAAAACTACAGAGTACTAAAAAGATATGAGGGGTTATTAAAATCACTGAGGCTTGTAAGCAATCGGTAGTTTACCTTTTTATTGAGCTAGAAATTAGGTGGCCTCATCATTTCATACCACTTGCCCACTGCTGCCCCTTCTCCCAGAATCAGATAAAAGGCTTTAGTTCAAAACATTTGTCAGTTTAAAAAGTGCTGATGCTTAGCATGTTTTATGTTTCACATAGTTAATCCCTTACAGCATCCTGTCATCTGGGAGCTTTGTGTGTTCTTTAAATGGAAATGAGGAAAATAGTGATTGATTTACTCAAATTTATAGTGACCAATGATGAGCAAGTTTTCATTCACTCAGTAAATACTGTGAGCCATTCCATACCTATGTGAGTCAAAGTAATTTCCCCCGCCCCCGTGACATTTTGTGTTTTTTTTTTTTTCCCTGTTTCTTTTAAATAACCGTTTCAAAGCTAAATTCTGTGTTGTAGAAAGAAAGGGATTACAATTACTTGAACCTATTTTCTGACTCCTGGGGCAAGTCCAATTTGAAGGTTTTTTTAATGCTTTGCTACTCAAAGTGTGGTCCCCAGACCAGCAGAAATGGTATTGCCTGGGTGCTTACTAGGCTTGCATGTCAGGACTTAACCTATACCTATTAAATCTCAATCTGTATTTTAACAACACAGCTGATTCATTGCAAATTAAGATTTGAGAAGCAATGGTTTAGAGCTATTAATTATTTTCTGTCTTAATTGCTGGTTTCTCCCTCTCATTATCCGTTTTTACCATACCTCTTCTGAAACTCATATGTATAATTAGAAATCAGAGGTGAATTATCAAAGTGATTTCATCAGAGTTTAGTTTTCTTATGCAGGTAGTAAGTGAAAAGATAAGGCGAGGCACGGTGGCTCACGCCTGTAATTGCAGCACTTTGGAAGGCCAAGGCAGGTGGATCACTTGAGGTCAGGAGTTCAAGACCAGCCTGACCAATATGATGAAACCCCATTTATACTATAAATACAAAAATTAGCCGGGCATGGTGGCACATGCCTGTAATCCCAGCTATTGGGGAGGCTGAGGCAGGAGGTGGAGGTTGCAGTGAACTGTGATCGCACCACTGTCTGAGCAACAGAACAAGACTCTGTCTAAAAAATAATAATAGTGCCTTTTATTTGTAGCTCTGTGATTGTTCAGAATTTTTAATCTGTAATCTGTTTTTTTCAATAATAGTTTATGGGTGAGTAACACAGCATCTTATATGTAGTATCTATATTACCAGTACAAAAGATGGCAGCTGTATTTGCTAATACAGCTTTTTAAAACATTTACATGATTACATCTTGACCTTCTTTAAGTAGTAGACCTGTTGAGATTTATTATATACCTGTCATGGATGTTTTCAAGAGAAAAACAAAATATTTCAGGATCAGGCCTTCTAGTTATTCTTTGACTCTTTTTTTGAGACAGAGTCTTGCTCTGTTGCCCAGGCTGGAGTGCAGTGGCACAATCTTGGCCCACTGCAACGTCCGCCTCCTGGGTTCAAGCAGTTCTCCTGCCTTAGCTTCTCGAGTAGCTGGGATTACAGGTGCGTGCTATCATACCTGGCTATTTTTTGTATTTTTAGTAAAGATTGGCTTTCACCATGTCGGCCAGGATGGTTTTGAACTCCTGACCTCATTATCTGCCCTCCTTGGCCTCCCAAAGTGCTGGGATTACAGGCGTGAGCCACCACGCCCAGCCTATTCTTTGACTTTGTATGAGAGTTTATCAATTTCCTTTCCTTTTTTAAATGTCAGCTTACCTATGGGACAGTAACAGTTAGTGACTTAGATATCTAGGTAAATATACCCTATTTTAATTCCTATATCAGAACCTTGTCATCCATTTTTCATAGCTTCACTCTTATTTTTTCTCTACTCATCATTTTTTCATTTCTGGAAACTACTGCTAAATGTTTAGATGCTCCTGGCTTACAAACACTTCTTCCCTTGTCCATACCCATGGATGGGATGTAGGCATGCCCACTGATTCACTTATCTTTTTATTCCATAGCCAGAGGAAATTCAACAGCAGATTGTTCGAGAGACTTTCCATCTAGTCCTCAAGCGAGATGACAACATTTGTAACTTCTTGGAGGGTGGAAGGTAAACTGTCAGCTTCATTTTTCTCCCCGTGAATCCACTCTTGTGAATGACCTTCATTGTTGCATCTTCTGGCAGCGCTCAAGTGTCAGGTGGTACTTGACGCAACTTTGACTGGTCTCAGCATGATCTACTCAGGGGGAAACACAATTCTCTTTGGGACACAGTTTAGTTATTGTGCTTCTGATACTGCTCATTTAGATGTTTGGGCCCTGGAAGGATAGGCAGGAGAAAAGGTGAGGGAAGGTGGCTTTAGGTACCTCTGTAAAACTTGGTTGCCGCTCATCTGGGAAGAATGGCATGCTTCTAGTATTTGGCCTTCTTTCCAGTGGACCCTTTCTTATTCTTTGACACAAGGTTTCTTTTTGTTATGTTTAAGCTATGGGTATTAAATGTTTCCTATCTTCCACAGTTTGATTGGTGGCTCTGACTACAAACTGATCTACCGGCACTATGCTACCCTCTACTTTGTATTTTGTGTGGATTCGTCGGAGAGTGAACTTGGAATCTTGGACCTCATCCAGGTATGCGTAGTCAGCTAATGATGGCAGCAGCTTTAGAGAGTTTGCGCGGAATTTTTCAGTAACCAGCCTGTAGAACCTTGTGTCCATCTCCTTATTGATATTGGTAAAAGTTGCCAGATGTCCACCAGATGGTGCTCTGGGAAAGCTCCTGAGAAATACTCAGCACTTTTATATTTATTGGTTTTTACCTAGCCCTTGCACTGCCCTTAGTTTTCATGATTGATTATTTTTTTCAGCTATCAAACCAAATGACATTTACAAATTTATACTTTTAGCTGGGTGTGGTGGCCCACAATCTGCCACTGCACTCTAGCCTGAGTGACAGAGTGAGACCGTGTCTCAAAAAAAAAAAAAGCTCAAGATGTAGCATCACAAAATCTGGGTTTGACTCGTGAATCTATCATCTGAAAAGCGGTATTAGGTTGTAGAATTCAAATGTGAGACTGCCTTATAGTACTGTAAACTGTAGCAGGTTGTAGAAATGTGCACATAATATGAGTTTATGTGAAAATGAGGGAAATATAGTGATAATGTATTTTTAAAATTGGGATGGAGTGCTTGCTTCAGCAGCATATACGCTAAAAGTAGACCAATGAAGAAAAGATGAGCATTGCCACTATGCAAGGATGACATGCAAATTGGTAAAGCATTCCATATTATAAAAAATAAAGAAAATTTTTTAAAAGAGAAAAAAATTTGGGACAGTTATTAGAGAAAATGGACTATAGAGATTTATATTAACAACAAAAATTGAAATTTATAGTTTAATGGACATTTATTAAATATTTAGTGTACATTGACTTTGGGAAGATCAGATAAGTAAAATGTGAAAATAATAGGAAGTAAAAGATTTGATCTTTGTTTTTATTTTTTAAGATAAAGTCTCATTCTCAAATCGGAGTGTAGTGGTGCGATCATAGCTGACTGCCCTCCATCTCCCAGGCTCAACCCATCCTTCTGCCTCAGCCTCCTGAGTAGCAGGGCGTACAGGTGTGCATCACCACACCTGGCTAATTTTTTGAATTTTTTAGAGATGAGGTCTCACCATGTTGTCCAGGCTGGTCTCGAACATCTGAGCTCATGCAGTCTTCCTGCTTTGGCCTCCCAAAGTGCTGGCATTACAACCATGAACCGGTGCACCCAGCGGATCTTTGAAAAGACAGTAAAAATAAATAGTTGGCCTAATTGACATAAAGGAGATAGAAGTCAGAAATAGAAAACATTGTTTTAAAGGGATGATACATATGTGGTTATATTACCAACGTATTTGAAGTACCTGACTACAAAAAATAACTCCCCTGGCCTGGCACCGTGGCACATGCCTATAATCCCAGCACTTTGGGAAACTGCGGAGGGTGGATCACTTGAGACCAGGATTTGGAGACCAGCTTGATCAACATGGTAAAACCTCATCTCTACTAAAAATAGAAAAATTAGCTGGGCATGGTGGGGCATGCCTGTAATCCCAGCTGCTTGGCTACTTGGGTAGCTGAGTCACGAGAATCATTGAACCTGGGAAGTGGAGGTTGCAGTGAGCTGAGATCACACCATTGACCACCAGCCTGGGCAATGGAGGAAACTCTGTCTCAAAAATACAAAAACAAAAAACTTCCCATGTGAAGTTAATATAATGGTACTGAAATAATTGGATAAAATAATAGTCGGGGTTTTTTTGAAAAGAACTGACTCCCTAATGGGCTCACAGTAAAATTTTTTAAAGTTGAAGTACCTTAAAACCTATACATTACATTAAGTTATTTTTAAACCTAGAACAAGGAATCCTACTACTTAAGTGTACTTTATGGAGTAAATCAGTTATCATCCAAAAACCTAACTCTAAAAGGGAAGATGTTCGTCAAATACTGTATATTAGTATTGGTACAAAATTACTAACAGAAATCTTAGCCAACAATCTATTGAACCAAGGGATTGTGAGTCCTGGCTTTTTTTTTCTTTTTGACTCTCCCATTAACAAGCACTGTGCCCTTAAATAAATCATCTAGGCTTTATTGGCCTTAAGGGTTTTTTGTTCGTTTTGTCTCTTTTGTGTGTTGGGTTTTTGTTTTAATCTACAATGATACTAGATACCCTTTTCTGGTCCTAAAATTCTTTAGCAGGAAAAGTGCATACTATTAAATAGAATTATACATTGTGTCCAAATAGTATTTATTCCAGGATGCAAGTCAGTGTTAACAAAGCAGTAAGAAAAACTAATGTAATTGAATTAGTAGTTGCTGAGAGGAGTGATTCTCTAAATTACATTAAATACAGTCTTAAACTGGAATAAGAAGCATTTTTGATTAAAAGTACACATTTATTAATTGTTTACTTTTTTTCTTTTTTTGAGACGGAGTTTCGCTCTTGTTACCCAGGCTGGAGTGCAATGGCGTGATCTCGGCTCACCTCAACCTCCGCATCCTGGGTTCAAGCAATTCTCCTGCCTCAGCCTCCTGAGTAGCTGGGATTACAGGCACGTGCCACCATGCCCAGCTAATTTTTTGTATTTTTAGTAGAGACGGGGTTTCACCATGTTGACCAGGATGGTCTCGATCTCTTGACCTTGTGATCCACCCGCCTCAGCCTCCCAAAGTGCTGGGATTACAGGCTTGAGCCACCGTGCCCGGCCCAATTGTTTACTTTTTGAAGAAATAAATATATGTGGTTCAGAATTCAGAGGCACACTATGATTATACAGGTTGAATATCCCTTTGAAATTCTTGGGACCAGAAGTGTTTTGGATTTTGGACTTTTTCAGAGTTGGGGATATTTGCATTATACTTATTCTAAATCTGAAAGTCCAAAGTCCAAAATGGCCAATGAGCATTGCCTTTGAGCATTGTGTCGGCACTCAAAAATGTTGGATTTTGTAGTGTTTTGGATTTCAAATGTTCAACCTGTGTAGTGAAAAATATCCTCCTTCGCCTTTCTCCCAGTCACCTAGTTTACTTTCCTTGAAGCAACCAATTTTAGTTTCAAAACCAAGAGCCAAGAACCAGAGCCAGTGTTAATCTCAAGGGTGAAATCTGTAGGCATTTACAAATATTCTTGTTGAGGATTTCGTCCAGGTGTATTGGCTCACAGCTATAATCCTAACCCTTTGGGAACCCAAGGCAGGGGGATCACTTGAGCCCAGGAGTTCAAGACCAGCCTGGGAAACACAGTGAGACCTAATCTCTATAAAAAATCAAGTGGTGTGCCTCTGTGGTTCCAGCTTCTTAGGTGGCTAAAGCCTGGGCAACATAGTGAGACCTAGTCTCCTTAAAAAATCAGATGGTGTGCCTTGTGGTCCCAGCTTCTCAGATGGCTAAAGCAGGAGGATTGCTTGAGCCCAAGAGGTTGAGGTTTCAATGAGCCACTTCACTCTAGCTTGAGTGACAGAGCAAGACTCTATATCACACATACAAAAAAGGAGTATCTTTTATTACTTACTCTAATTTTGACAAACGTGTAGTGAGTGTTACAAAAAGAAATGAAGAAGTGACATAGTAAAGAAAGAGAGAGGTAAGTTATCACTGTAAGGTGGCCAGATTATGGACATAGAAAATCTTTTTTAAAAAATTATAAGTAAGAAATGATATGAGCAAAATGACAGAATATGAGATAAATCCAACAAAATTTTCTATTTCTGAGAAAACAGAAAATTTATAATTAAAGAAATCTCATTTACAGTAGTGATAAAAAATAGTGCTTGGAAATTAACTTGGTATGGAACACTTGACATTGATTCCAATAAAATTATAAAATCTTAAAGGGAAAACAAAGGAATACTTGGAACAAATGGAGCTACAAACTCTCCCCTGTTGGGAAGAGTCAAGCAAAGATGACAGTAGTCTCAAAGATAGTGAGCAATACATCAAATGGAAAACCTAGTGTAATTCTATCAGGAGATCTTATAGAACTCGATAAAGGCAAAATTTATCGGGAAAATGAGTGTTCAAGAAATGCAAAAGTAGATTTCTAGGGAAAAAGGACAGTATGGGAGATTTGCTTTACTAGGTTTCAGAATATATCATAGTTACAAACTGGGTGCAGTGGTTCACGCCTGTAATCCTAGCACTTTGGGAGGCTGAGGTAGGTGGATCATGAGGTCAGAAGTTCAGCCAGCCTGGCCAACATAGTGAAACCCTGTCTCTACTAAAAATAAAAAAATTAGCCGAGCTTGGTGGCACACACCTATAGTCCCAGCTACTTGGGAGGCTGAGACAGGAGAATTGCTTGAACCCGGGAGGTGGAGGTTGTGATGAGCCAAGATCACACCACTGCACTCCAGACTGGGCAACAGAGTGAGACTTCACCTCAAAAATAATAATAGTAATAGTTACAGATGAATTGGTTATCTAGAAAATCCAAATCCGTTGGAAACAATTTGAACTAATAGAGTTCAGTAAGGTGGCTGGATGCAAGTTTAACATACAGAAATTGGTAGTTTTCGGTCAAGTGCGGTGGCCCACGCCTGTAATCTCAGCTCTTTGGGAGGCCGAGGCTGAGGTGGGTGGGTCACATGAGGTCAGGACTTTGAAACTAGCCTGGCCAATGTGTCTCTACTAAACCCTGTCTCTACTAAAAAGAAACCTGGTGAAACCCCATCTCTACTAAAAATACAAAAAATTAGCTGGGCATGGTGGCACGTGCCTGTAATCCCAGCCACTCAGGAGGTTGAGGCAGGAGAATTGCCTGAACCCAGGAGGTGGAGGTTGCGGTGAGCCAAGATCGCGCCATTGCACTCCAACCTTGGTAACAAGAGTGAAACTCTATGTCTCAAAATAAAAATTAAAAAAATAAAAAAATAAAAAAGCAGCCCATTCATAATAGCAAAAAGTTTCATAAGATAACCACAAATGTAAAATATGTATAAGATCTATATGAAGACTTAAAATTCTGCTAAAAATATGAAAAAAGAGCTATGTAAGTGAATATCACATACTCTTCCTGTTGAGAAAAAATTAAAAAGTATCAGTACCTCCAGGTTATAAATTAGTGAAAACCCAATCAGAATCCTA